CTCTCGAGGCTCTGTCAGCACAGACCCGGTTTTATGCCTGCGATTAGTAACCAGGCATCACACCAAAGACCTGGTGAGTCTTGGGTAAAGAAAGGTTTCAGAGTAGCAGCCGTGTTAGTCTGTATTCGCAAAAAGAAAAGGAGTACTTGTGGCACCTAAGCAACATGCATCCGATGAAGTGAGCCGTAGCTCACGAAAGCTTATGCTCAAATAAATTGGTTAGTCTCTAAGGTGCCACAAGTCCTCCTTTTCTTTTTGGGTAAAGAAGCTGCTCTTCTAAATGCCCAGCGGTAGCGATGGAGCCTAACTGTAGAAACTCCAACAGTCTGCCTAACTCCAACAGTTCGCTCCCCACTCCAGTAGAAGTGACACCTAGGCTCTGAGACTCAGTCGCCCAGCACAGTAATGCTCACAAGGCAGCATTGCTTCGCTTCGCAGCACATTACGATATAGAAACTACACTGAGAATTTTTCCCTCCCTGGAGGCTTGCATACAAATAACTACCACCAGCCTTAGGGCAAGGAGCCAGAGCCACTTCTTAAAACAATCCTTAACCAGCCTGACCATTGCTGCGGCACTCACAGTATACGGATCCCCAGGCACATCCTACTGTAACAGGGAGCGTCTCATCCAGGATTGCTGCAGTTCTTCTTGGTATCTCCTAATGTGTAATAATTTATTACAGAGGTTGGTAAACTATGGCCCGCGGGCCGGCCGGGCCCCTGAGCTCCCGGCCTGGAGGCTAGCCCCCAGCCCTTCCCCCGCTCTCCCTTCTTTTGTACAGCCGCGCGGGCAGCGTGGCTTGCGCCCACCCACCTCCCAGGCTTTCCAATAAGCCTGTCATGCCACTCTGAGCAGCATGGTAAGGGGACAGGGGCGGTTGGATAAGGGGCAGGAGGTCCTGGGGTGTAGTTGGGGTGGTTGGATGGGGCCGAACTTTGTGGGGTGGGGCACTCGGGAGACAGGGAGCATGGGGGTTGGATAGGGTGTCGGGGGTCCCAGGAAGGGGGGGGGGGGACAGGGAGCGGGAGGGTTGGATATTGGGTGGGGTCCTGGGGGGGCAGTTAGGGACAGGAAGGGGGCAGTCAGGGGACAAGGAGTGGGGCAGGGGGGTGAATGAGTCGGGGGGCCTGTCAGGGGGTGGGGATAGGGGTCGGGACAGTCAGGGAGCAGGGAGAGTTGGATAGTGGGTGGGGTCCCGGAGCGGGGCAGTTGGGGCAGGGGGTCCCAGGAGGGGGCGGTTGGGGACAAGGAGCAGGGGTAGGTTGGATGGGTCAGGAGTTCTGAGGAGGGCAATCGGGGCAGGAAATGTGTGTGGGGGAGGATGGTGACAGAGGCCAGGCTGTTTGCGGAGGCACAGCCTTCCCTACCCTGCCCAGTCCAGATCCCTGGTGCTAGGTGCTGTACAAACCAATCAAGAGGCAGTCCCTGTGCTAAGGGCCACAGGGCCTAGTGCCCCCCCCAGCAGCCCATAGAAAGGAGTATTGCAGTTCATAGGGATCTTCATTTCTGCTTCTTATATTTTAATTTGTGTTGGGAAGGGTTGGAACCTTTCCATTTCCTGCATCAGCAGCTCAGGAATGAGATTTGGGCAGGGACAACAGCAGGTGTTAGACGCTTACCCTCTACTACAGCAGCTTCTTTGCTGTTTGGCCCACTCTTTGCTCTTCCCTCACAGAGTTTCCAAACAACCCTGGGCCTATAGCTCACTGAATAGGAGTTGTCGTTAGTTCCATGGGATACAGAGCTCGGCTCCCGGAAGGTGTTCTGGGTTTATTTCCTCATTAACCACATATCAGTCTCCCCCTATACATTGCAGTGGGATTCCCTTCCCTAGTTGTTGGGGTTCACGATGTGGCTGTGGTTTGCTAGAGGCTGGGGCAACGCAAAGCAAGGCAGTATGTTCTTGGGATGGTGCCTCCCTCATTCTAGGGAAGGCAAGTGCTGCTGAGAGAGGGACAGGGCACATATGTGGGCTGCTGGACTTTGAAGACAAAGCAGTCTTAGTCCCCACACTGGGAGACCCTTGACACTCCCTCAGTTTTAGAGGAAAACTTGCTGTGGCTACATATTTATTGCACCTGAAATAAACATCACTCTGCATATGACACATGTGCATCCCAACAGCGAGGCTTGCGGACATGGGCACCGCTAGGGCACTCAGTCTTCGCTTAAAGGCTCAGCACCATGGGCATGTTCTAGGTCGGGGAAAGGAGCAGCTTTCTCAGAACATATGCATAGGGGAGAGCAGCACCCTGAGCAATGAGGCGGAGGCCTGCAGGGGGTGTTACAGACAGAGAGTGTCTTACATGCCCAGCCCTGATGGTTGCCAGCCTGGCATTTGCAGACCTGTGCTAATTTCTTTGGGCCCTCAGTCAGAGCAGTTCTGGGCTTCACACTGGGATTTGAATGCCAGGGGCTCCCTCTGTTGGTGCTAAATGGTAGCTGCTGTTCTCTTGTATTCTAATCCCCATACACAGAAGCTGTTGCCATGTTATGGTCATTTGTAAGTTTGGCTTAAAAACACCCAAGGAGTGGCTCATTGTGTTTTTTAGAAGAGGAATGAGGGGAGTTTTGAACGTGGTTTTCCCAGGAAGACAAGGGCACCTGTAAAGGAGAGGGGTCCCTAAACAGGAATCGGCTACCTTCTCCATCACCTGGGAGATAGGATTTCTCCATTCAAACCCCTTCTAAAGGGGTAGAGGCAGGATTCAAACTGGGAAATCCAAGGATCACCCTTTCCTAAGCAAGCACCCAAGAACTCAACCATAGAGTGATCAGGAGTTCTGTGCTGCCCCAATTCATACTTTAGTAAAGGGGAACAGCTCCAGAAGGTAAGCCTGAGGCATTCCCTGTTCAAATGAACTGCCTTTGCCAGCAGAGAATGCGCTTGAACCAAGTAGGCCAACATCCCAGACAAGGGCTGTAACCACTACACTATAGACAGGTTCCTGGGCTTAAGCCTTGCTTTGGCCCAATTAACAGTTAATGAAAGTGGACCCACGTCAACAGGAAAGCCAGGGTAACTCCTTGCTCAAATCCCCAGTTTACAGCCAGGGGAGCTGAACCAGTATAGTTCAGAGACCAAGTGATCACTGTAACCACTGCACCATAGAAGGCTTCCCACAATGGAGTCTTGCTTTGGCCCGATTAATAGTTAATTAAAATGGAACAGCTTCAACAGAAAAGCTGAGCTGTCTGTTCAAATCCTTTTACTCCAGCTGGCAGATAATGGAATTAAACCAGGGAACTTCATAGCCCAGGTGAGTACCCTCACCACTGCACCACAGAGGGCTTTCCCTACTAGAAGCTTCCTTTGGGCCAATTAAAGTGGAACAGCTTCAACCAGAAAGCCACTATTGTTCAAATCCCTTTTTTTGAACTTTTGCCACAAACTTTGATGCCAAGTGAGCTTGGGCGCTAGTTGAGCAGGAGTTTGGCAGCACATAACTCCCTGTGTGGATCTGGCTTTGTGTGCCAACGGAGTGGCACAAGTGCGACCATTCTTGGCTCCCCTGTAACTCTGTGTGAGTGCCTGTGGCATGTACTGTGCACAGTCAGTCTCAGTTCACTCCCCAGCTCAGCACTGGATGCCTGCTGCCTCAGCACTGCCTGTACTTCCACCTAGTGTTCTGCTCAGTCTGCTCGAGTTGCCTGGCTAGTTCGCCCCATTGTAAAATCAAAGTGTAAAAGGAAGGCTTGATGCACCAGAAGACCCCCAAACGTGTACCTCAGACATTGATAGCAGCCTTCAACTACCTGAAGGGAGGTTCTAAAGAGGATGGAGCTCGGCTCTTCTCAGTAGTGGCAAATGACGGAACAAGAAGCAATGGTCTCAGGTTGCAGTGGGGGAGGTCTAGGTTGGATATTAGGAAAACTATTTTACTAGGAGGGTGGTGAAGCACTGGAATGGGTTACCTAGGGAGGTGGTGGAATCTCCATCCTCAGATGTTTTTAAGGCCCAGCTTGACAAAGCCCTGGCTGGGATGATTTAGTTGGGGTTGGTCCTGCTTTGAGCAGGGGGTTGGACTAGATGACCTCCTGAGGTCTCTTCCAACCCTAATCTTCTATGATTCTTTCTGGGTCTTCCTGGCATAGCAGTTCTCAAACCAATCTGGTTCTGCTTTGGCATTTTAGAGCACTTAGAAATTAACACAGGTCATTGCTGGGAGGGGACGGGAGCTGTACTTCAGGAGCCCTTTCTTTGATCATGATCTCGAACTGGCATCCCAAATGGTACCTAAGGCCTTCTCCTAACATAACAAATTTCCAAACCAATCTGACTTTGTCCATGAACTTTAGAGCGCTTTTAAAGTTTGCTTTAAAGAGAAACACTACTGGCACCCTTTTCAGAGTAACAGCCGTGTTAGTCTGTATTCGCAAAAAGAAAAGGAGTACTTGTGGCAGCTTAGAGACTAACCAATTTATTTGAGCATGAGCTTTCGTGAGCTACAGCTCACTTCATCGGATGCATACCGTGGAAACTGCAGCAGACTTTATATACACACAGAGAATATGAAACAATACCTCCTCCCACCCCACTGTCCTGCTGGTAATAGCTTATCTAAAGTGACCATCAGGTTGGGCCATTTCCAGCACAAATCCAGGTTTTCTCACCCTCCACCCCCCCACACAAATTCACTCTCCTGCTGGTGATAGCCCATCCAAAGTGACAGCTTACAACTTTCTTACAACTACAATACCCACCTGCGGAAGTAAAGAAACAGATTGATAGAGCCAGAAGAGTTCCCAGAAGTTACCTACTACAGGACAGGCCTAACAAAGAAAATAACAGAACGCCACTAGCCGTCACCTTCAGCCCCCAACTAAAACCCCTCCAACGCATTATTAAGGATCTACAACCTATCGTAAAGGATGACCCAACACTCTCACAAATCTTGGGAGACAGGCCAGTCCTTGCCTACAGACAGCCCTGCAACCTGAAGCAAATACTCACCAACAACCACATACCACACAACAGAACCACTAACCCAGGAACTTATCCTTGCAACAAAGCCCGTTGCCAATTGTGCCCACATATCTATTCAGGGGACACCATCACAGGGCCTAATAACATCAGCCACACTATCAGAGGCTCGTTCACCTGCACATCCACCAATGTGATATATGCCATCATGTGCCAGCAATGCCCCTCTGCCATTTACATTGGTCAAACTGGACAGTCTCTACGTAAAAGAATAAATGGACACAAATCAGATGTCAAGAATTATAACATTCATAAACCAGTCGGAGAACACTTCAATCTCTCTGGTCACGCAATCACAGACATGAAGGTCGCTATCTTAAAACAAAAAAACTTCAAATCCAGACTCCAGCGAGAAACTGCTGAATTGGAATTCATTTGCAAATTGGATACTATTAATTTAGGCTTAAATAGAGACTGGGAGTGGCTAAGTCATTATGCAAGGTAGCCTATTTCCCCTTGTTTTTTCCTACCCCCCCCACCCCCAGATGTTCTGGTTTAACTTGGATTTAAACTTGGAGAGTGGTCAGTTTGGATGAGCTATTACCAGCAGGAGAGTGAGTTTGTGTGTGTGGTTTTTGGGAGGGGAGTGAGGGGGTGAGAGAACCTGGATTTGTGCAGGAAATGGCCCAACTTGATTATCATGCACATTGTGTAAAGAGTTGTCACTTTGGATGGGCTATCACCAGCAGGAGAGTGAATTTGTGTGGGGGGGTGGAGGGTGAGAAAACCTGGATTTGTGCTGGAAATGGCCCAACCTGATGATCACTTTAGATAAGCTATTACCAGCAGGACAGTGGGGTGGGAGGAGGTATTGTTTCATATTCTCTGTGTGTATATAAAGTCTGCTGCAGTTTCCACGGTTTGCATCCGATGAAGCGAGCTGTAGCTCACGAAAGCTCATGCTCAAATAAATTGGTTCGTCTCTAAGGTGCCACAAGTACTCCTTTTCTTTTTACTGGCACCCTGTGTGTCTCTGTGCCTGTTGGCGTTCCATGGCTTGCTCCCAGCCCCACCGCTTTGTAAAACCAATGTGAACATCTAGTACTGCTGGGATTATTGGGTTTTGGAGCTGGGTGTTGGTCACATTCAGGGAAGACTAGTGACATGCACACACTTGGTGAACATTGCTCATTTCCCCCCCTAGCTTTCGGAAAAGAAAAATGATTTCTTCCCATCCCACAAACCAGAATGAAATCTCAGCTGTGGTTTATCAGTAACCTGTCATTTTTAAGCCTGCTCCCATTAGCTACAGTGTGAGCAGTTTTAAAGGCCACGAGCAGAAACTCTCAGACATGGTTGTTACGCTTATAAGCACAAGGGATCTTTTTCATAGGAAAAGGCAATATGCCGCATTTATTGAAGATACAGTAATCACACACACGCGCGCACACACAGTCCCGCCAGTTGATGTTATAGTTACCAGTCAAGAGTCCGGATCAATATAGTGGCCAGCTAGGTTATTTGCCAAAGTTTCATGGCAAAGCACCCTGTTTATAGAGTGATTTTCCTTCATTAGGACCAATGAGTTTTGCACCATCATGCTGTAATCAATTGCCGTTTGAGGAATGCTTGTTTTCTTAGATTATTCTTCTTATCCTTTATCTTGTTCTTTCATTAGTCTCTCAGGGAGTTACCCCATGCTGGTTTTGATCACAGCTATCTTGTCCCCATTGACAGGTGCCTGCCCTATCTTTTAGAGTCATCATTCCGCCCTCCTCTGACATCTCAGTAGGGGCGTGTTGCAATCTCTTGGCGCCTTTATGTCCGTCCTCGATTCCTGCCTAGAACATCTGGTCTGGTGATGGCCTTCACACTTATCTTGTAAGAAAACACATTCCTCATTCACACACAAAACAGGATTGATTTACACAAAGCATATGAACAGGAACATCAAATATCAATGCGGAAGAAAACAATCATTGCATTCTTTTACTTGCTGAATGCTAAACCTACAACAAAGTGGTGTCCCTAACGGTCTGTCTCTCCCTTGAAATCAGCTTCAGTCCCAAGATTCTGACTGATGCATCTTTACCAATGGCACACTAGGCCATTCCTTTTTGCTTTTAGAAAGGGCGGCTGGAAGGGTATGATCAGATCATACATCAATACATTTAATGCATGCCACATTATTATTATTTATCCTTAATTCTAAATCATACAAAATACAAACAAAATCCTACTACTACATGGTCACATATCAAAGATGATTGGATCGTCTTGGAGGTAGCCCCGTCTCTGCCTGGTGACGGCTTTATAAATTAGGGTTTGAACCCACAGTATGAACAGACCTGACCTAGCCAGAGAGTTAACAAAGAACCAAGCCGCCAAGGTAGGTAAGCGCAGTCCAACACAGGTGCAGCTTTTCCAGAGCCAGCCGCCCGAGTCTCTGTGGTGTCTTTATTGTATCACCACATCCAGCACGGGAGCGTGGGAAGGACACGGGGTCACGTCCCCCAAGATTTCTGCCAGTGTTTGCCAGCCCTGCTCAGTCACATGGTGCGGCTGCCCCCGCCCCCTACAGCAGCTGCTGGAGCCAGAGCTTTGTGTGGAGAGGCAGGAGCAACAGCTAGGAGCTGCAGGGAGGGGCCGCTGCTTTCTAGGAGGGGAGCCTGAGGTTAAAGGGGGAGGGGCAGCCTTGGGGGAAGGGTGACTTGAGCTGGTTGGGGGGGGGGGAGCAGCCAAACCTTTACACTGTGTCCCCACTATTAGCAGGTGCAGGTTATCCCTGCTCAAGCTCCCCATCTGCACCCCAGCCCCTGACATGAAAGCCGAGCAGGCCAAAGAATCAAGCTGTGAGGGAGCCCTGCAGTACACAGGCCAAGCATGGCCAAAGTAATGCGAGGGCTGGGGGGGCAGGGTTACTGAGTGTGAGGGGGATCAAAGAGCCGGCACAGGAGGGCTATGTGCCCCCACGGGCAGGCCAGCGCAGCCAGGGTATTCATAGAATCATAGAATATCAGGGTTGGAAGGGACCTCAGGAGGTCATCTAGTCTAACCCCCTGCTCAAAGCAGGACCAATCCCCAATTTTTGCCCCAAATCCCTAAATGGCCTCCTCAAGGATTGAACTCACAACCCTGGGTTTAGCAGGCCAATGCTCAAACCACTGAGGTATCCCTCCCCCCATGGCGCCCTTTTCAGTGTGGGACCGAAGTGCGGTGGGGGCAACAGAGCAAGCTGCGCCTCTCCCCAGGCCAAGACAGGAGCTGGTATTTAGTCCCAGGCTGCAGACAGAGCAGCCCAGCAGGGCCCTGTTTGTGTGCACTCCATCTGGGGGCAGCCTGCACACCCAGCTGGGCTCAGCCTGGCTCCAGTCACCACCATGGACCTGCTTGCTGTCAAAATCAACCCTGAGAAAAGCATTGGTGTTTTGTGGTCCTGGGCTGCTAGCCACCGCCAGCCTGCTGGGGGAGCAACCACCAGCCCATGCAGCCCCTGCTCCTGGCTGGCAGCTGGTGCATCCCCCTTTGGTAACAGTGATTCTAGCACTTACACAGGCCATGCGGCACTGGGGCCCTGCTGAACCTGTCCCTGCGGGAAGCAATTACTGATGGGTCAACACCTGCAGACAGTAGAACACCAATGGATTTGCATAATGTGCTGGGCTGCCAGGGCTGGCTCCATGGAAACTGCCTTGCGAGGCAGGGCCTCAGTCAGGAAGGGCCAGGTCTCCCTGTCTCTGCCTGCTTTCTCTCTGCTTCCCCCTGTCCAGCCTTTGCCAGAGTCCAGCCAAAAGCCTCTTGTGTTCCAGTCCGTGGGTGATTGCCCTTTGAACAGTCCTGTCCTGTGCCATGGGGGGCAGGTGTGACAGCCCCTCCCCTTACCCTGGCAGGGCAGCCATCTGGAAAGCGACGGCTAGGTGCAGGCAGCCGGTCAGTGCACAGATGGCCCTTTCGCAGCAAGCCGCCCTGCCATCTGTGCTGGACTTTCCCCCTGGGCTGAGACACGCTGTGCACAGGATGGCAGGGGCTATGGATATCTCTGCCAATGCTTCGTCCGGGGGCAAGGAGGAGGAAGCATGCGCTGGTGGTAGAAGCTTCCTTCTCTCTGCCCCAGATGGGTCATGTGACTCCTGGGGCAGCATTGGAGGAGGTACCGATGATAGTGCCAGGGCCGTAGGCTTCATAGCCAGCGTCAGCATCAGCCTCACAGGAGGGAGCTGCATCAGCACGCTCACAGGAGCCGCTGGGGTCGGGAGGCCTGGTGCTGACATCAGCACATGGGTTGTAGGAGCCTGCATTGAGGTTGACAACAGTGCAGGCATGGGAAGACAGCTGTGGCGACGTCGTGAAGGCTGGTGCCGAAGTTGACGATGGTGCCAGAGGAAAGGGCATTGGGACCGTCTGCGCCGAGGGCGGATGTACAGTGGGAGGCAGTACGTAAGTGGCAGAGGCAACTGAAGACGTCGCTGAGCGTGGGCCCTTGGATTATTTTTTCCACCTGAAGCAGGAAGGTCTCTCCTTGTCTTCTATAAGAGTACACCTAGCTGCCATCTCGGCTTTCCACCCGGAGGTACAGGGCTGCTTGGTTTTCACTAACTCCCAGTCAGCTGCCTCCTGAAGGGTCTCGACAGGTTGTACCTGCATGTCTGCCAACTGGTTCCTGCTTGGGACCTTAACCTGGTCCTCTCTAGGCTCATGGGCACCCCTTTGAGCCTCTAGCAACATGCTCTACGTCTCCTACAAAGTCACATTCTTGGTGGCAACCTCAGCCCGGAGGGTGTCTGAACTTAAGGCTGTAACATCCGAGCCGCCATACACCGTTTTTTTTAAGGACATGGTTCAGTTCAGATCTCATCCAGCCTTCCTCCCGAAGGTGGTATCACAGTTCCACATCAACCAGGACATTTTCCTCCCGGTGTTCTATCCCAAGCCTCATGCGAGTAGCAGGGAGCAAAGACTCTACACTCTCGACGTCTGCAGAGCGCTGGCTTTTTACATAGAAAGGACAAAACCATTCAGGAAGTCGGTAGAGCTGTGTGTCACAGTAGCGGACAGGATGAAGGGCCAGCCTGTTTCAACACAGCACATTTTATCATGGATTGTGGCCTGCATTACCAAGTGCTACAATCTAGCAGGGATCCCAGCGCACTCTACAAGGGCACAAGCTTCATCAACAGCCTTCCTGGCCCAAGTCCCCACCCAGGA